ATAGATAAAGTAAATTTTATAAGTTTAGGCCGAGAAAATTATATTGTATTATACATTTCATAGCGTACGTTGATCTAAATCAAAGTTGAATGAAATAGTTCCTTTCTTTATATTCTAAAATCGGAACATGACGCCATTATAGTTTTGCGCTCTTTCCTTAGTGTAAACATTACTGACGTCATTGTTAATCGCGTTCTTGCCACAACTATACTTAAACACTTTCCGCTTGCATAATTAAAATTGTTTTTCTACATGCTTTTATTTTTTATTTGTCTTCTTTAAATAAACTTTTGTTTATACTTTTAAAACATCTACCATATTATTTTCAACAAAAGTCCGTATCAAGTTCTCCATAAATCGCAGAAGATACTGATATGATACCCTGTGAAAATATTTTGCGGACAGAGAGAGAGAGAGAGAGAGAGAGAGAAAGAGATAGAGAGAGAGAAGTGCGCACATGGGCTTTTATATATTATGATAGATTTTCATAGATATACTATCTCGAAAAGGGTTAATAAAAATTAATTAGGATATTTAAGATAAAATTGATTTAACCATAAATGGTGATCTGTTATTCAATTATCTATAATATTTTTAAAATATAAGAAAATATAGGCCTACTCATATTTAAAGACATATTCATTGATTCACTCTCCCCCCCCCCCCCCACGTTACTAGTTTTGGCCGAATTTACGATGCTAAAGTAAGATTTTACTGATTATCTATCGTTTTAGGAACATAAAATCGCCCGCGACTAGTAATGTGAAAAACAGGTGACTCCTTAAATTTTATAAATTATTTCACATTTTAAGGAGGATTTATGTTTTGAAAATACAAAATGTTTCAGTGTTTCATTTATGTACCCGTTTTTAAAGAATAGAATTAAAACTTTTCAGTAATAAATGAAGACTAGCGATGTTTCCAACAGATGCAACCATGCTCATTTACTACAGCAGCCATCTTGTTTAAGTTAAGTTTTTTTTTTTGTAAACATATAGATCTAGATCTAGCACAAGATTAAGGGGAAGCCAATCTATTTTACAAATGGCTGCTGGTTATATACTATATATAGCAAATCTTGCTCGCAAACACTGCTGTTTAAAGTTAATTTCTGGCCCATATTGATTTAGGCCTATCCATTGTTTTAGGTTTATTATTCATTTATCGGTAATCTATTGTTTTAGCGTAATCAATTCGGCTGCAGTAGAAATGTGCGGGAGAGGTAACTGATGAATATATTTGTTTAAATAAGTATAATTTAAGTCAAATGTTACAAAACATAACAGATAATTGATTTAATATAACAATCACTGACCAAAACAATTTAAAATATCATGAAACTAACTTTAAACAAGGTGTTTGAGATAAATATTAGCAGATAAAAACAGCGGCCATCTTTCCAAATAAAATTTAGAGTAGTTTCCCTTGATACACATGTCTATTCGTATGTATATTGTGTTGATTTTGTTTTTGAATATACATAGCTGTCTTGTTTAATAAAAGTGGGACAGAGGGCCGTCTTCTTATCTTTAATTTCAATTGAAATTAAGGCTATGTATGTATGTACATCCAAGATCTCAAAGACTTTTGGGAGGTCCAACATTTATTAAACCCTTTTGTACTGATTAACTTGTCAATTATTAGGTCGTCCATATTCTTCATAAATGACGTTGGACTCAAAATATGGGACGGTGTAAAATATTTTTTCAAAAATGATGAAGAATATATTCGTGTTCGTTAGACATTGTGATTAAGGGTTCGGGTATAGTAGAACTGCGATATGATATTAAATCATCATCTTGCTTTTAGTAACTATTGGGTGAGAGGGAAATCGTCGGGAAAAAAATGACGTCATTTATGGGCGATCCATTTAATTAAGCCTAGTTGTTTTTTTTAGTCTTAGACCTACACCTTTTCTGAATTAAGATTATTGTGTTTTTTAAAATAGGTTCAAATTTTAATTAGTTACATTTGAATACCACATGGTTTGTTTTTTTTTTGGTGTTTTTTTTCCTTCTGCTATCATCAGTTTTTTTATTTCTTCAGTAGTCAATGTTTACCCCTCCCCACCACACATTATTAAAACAACAAAAAACCACCCACTATATATGTCATAGCGTAGATATATAGAATTAGACTAGACGAGTAGAGGTTACCATAGGACGGTACGAACTTGACAGTAGACGATTTGGTGCGAGAGTATTGTGCGCGTGTTCAATAAAATGTGTGTGGCGTGAGTGTGACGTGAGCATGGTGCGACAATGTACCGATGACGTAAGACGCAGCAGTGAAGTTAGTTGGGGGTTAGATATAGTAGAAGACGGACGTATTTTTTGATATTGTACAAATGATCTATAAGTGTGTGTTAATAAAGTTCATGTTATTTCATAAACGAAGTTGTTGACATTGTTAATTAGTGTCTGCGGAACATAAGAGTGATTCCCGTCCTCCTCACGAGTATAATGGTTGCCGTATGAATAGTAGTAGATCAGAATATATTGAGATTATATATAAATCCCCCCCCCCATCACAATATAGTGATATCTCCCTCTAGAAAAAAAAACTAGATGAACCTATAGTTCGTAGGAAAATTAGAATCTATCACTTAAAAAAAAAGAAATACGTCATTTTTCTAAACCACGCCGTTTCATCCCCCAATAAGCACAACGTCACAAAGTTCGCGGCGCGTGTGACGTCATTTGTCATTAGGCTAATGTTTAAGAAAGAGATACCGCGTAATTAAAAAAAAATCAAAACAGGCACTAAATGACTATGACGATGAGACTAGCTACATTTAGCCTGACGAATAGATCTAAATGACTTTACTTCGGTGAATTATATTGGTGTTTAATTTATTACAGTGGCATGAAGTTCTCCCTCTGCTATACAAATTCACGTGCTTTTAATTTCTGCAACATGCTGCCCTGAGATGTTCGGTTCTAAAATGCCCGTGACACAGCGGCTTCGGTAAATGCATTTAGGCTCCCGGTCCCACCTATAAACGTCTGTCCATTAAGCTCCACGCAAAACGTGTGATTAATATGTGGACATAAGCGGCGCTAGTGGTGGTGTCAACAGGGGCCAAGCTCAGGTCTTAAGCTAAAGGTGCTCCGCACTTCATAAAAGACAAAATTGATGTTCAGATATCGTTGGACTCTGGCGTTTTGCCGACGGCCGTACTCCTAATGCACAGTCTTAGAGGCTGTCCACTGCTAACACTATTTTATGTTAAATTTAAGCCAATACTGAGCTGTGGCTTTACATTAGTTCAGTGGCGTAGCGAGGTCGAGTGTCACCTGGTGCGGCACTTAATGGTGTCTTGGACTCTTGTCGAATATTGTTGACAGGCGCTACTTGGTTTGAGCCTTATTGTCAGAAGTTATTTCATTTGGAGTCAATATAGTGCGGCTTATTTTCGTCGGTAGGCATTTAGTGGCAGGCCCTTTTTGGCGGGGATGATGTGCTCAGGTTGTTAAACACCGCTTAGGACAACAGGCATGCAATAGTTATGATCATTCGTTATGAACAAATGTATGCATGAAAACGAACGCTTTATGTTCCTCAATTTCATTGAGCACAGCTTTAAAGAAGATTCCAAAATAGACGTCACGCATCCCCCCCCCCCCCGGACCACCCTGCGTAAGTTGACGGCACATTAGCATAGCATATGTGACATCGTTATGGATAACACCATATAAATCATTTTGGGTATTTGGTATCAACATTTTGACAACAAAGGTTATTCAAAATGTATATAGGACTTGACATCTACCATAAATGACATCGCACACTTAAGGGGTGGAGTAACTGGTTTTGAGACGACGTTTTACGCGGGAAATGGGAGGGGTAAGAAACGTGAAACGTTATGTATTTCGCCAAATACAAAAATGCTGAATATATCGTTTTCATTAGAATTATGGCTTGACTTTTTAACAGGCAGGGCAAAAAGGTAATTTTCGACATTACGACTATTTCGTAACGGCGAAAATGAGGGGGGGGGGGGGGGGGGGTTAAGGGGAAGAAAGGTCAAAAAACAGGACGTCATTTATGATTAAATCACTAATCAAAGGAAAAAAGCATGAAAATATTACATGAAAATAGCAAACAAACAATAACACAAACAATAAGAATTAACTCAAACTAATATTTAAATAAACATTAGATATGTAGTGGTAGCTCTATAAAAATAGGGAGTATCTTAATGTGTAAAAATTGCATCTCATAATAATAATTCTAGAACTGATGTTTATTGTCAGTCAATTAAATTGTTTAAAGGGCAGAATTTAAAAAAAAAAAAGCATGCTTTGTATTTAAACACAAGACTAACGTATTTAATAGCAAACATCAATACATTTCCATACAAATAGAAATTAAAGGGAAATGACTCAAAATAATATTTTCTTAAGATGGCCGCTGTTTTTAATAGCAAATTTAGTATCTGGAACATCGATGTTAAACCTTAATTTCATGACATTTTTATTGATTTAAACCTTAAATGTGGTTTAATATTCAATTATCTTTAGTATTTTAGTAAAATATGCAAAAATATATTCACATCTAAGCCATATTTGATAGTTACCTTATCCCTACATTACTAGTGACGGCCGAATTGATTACGCTAAAGCGATAGATTACCCATTTATCTATAATATTTGACACAAATATATCACAATATACATATACTTCTATTAAAGTTATTAAAGCCTTGACAATGAGGTAACTTTTTCGTACATTACTAGCTGCGGGCGGATTTTACGTACCTAAAACGATAGATTACCCTAGTCTACTAATAGTTAATAATAGTACTAGTACTACTATAGTACTATTACTACTAGATCTAGATCTACATCCTAGATCTAGACCTAGATATCTATCCTATCTAGATCTAGTAATTACTAAATTAGGCCTAGGCCTAATTATTTATTTTTTTACACTTTTGTGACCTTTTTTTTTTTAGTAAAAATAAAGTAGATCTAGATCTAGATTCTACTTTTACTCACGATATTCCAAACAGTCAAAAACATAAATTTAGATTTGAATCCTTTTTGTCCTATGTCTACATTAAAAATATCATAATATGTAGAGAACAAATCAATAATAAATATAAGGACATGCAGTCCAAATATAAGGTATTTAGAACTACTCCTGGTCTTGAGTTTCGCCATTTTATTAATGGACCTTGATTTTTCTAGATCTAGAATCTAGCTAGATTCTATATTGGCGTGGCAATATCGGGATGTGTACAGTTTGCCATGTCAAACTTTTAAAGTGTTGCCAAACCAATATCTCTATATTCTAACTATATAATTATAAATCTACTACCAAAACTCGAGTTTGTTTACAACTTTATTTATTTTTTGGCCGCATTTGCTCGGATCGCTCTGCGGTCCGTTAAATCTTCTCTCTAGGTAGCACGCGATGTAAATATTTAATAATATAGATATCAGGAATGCCCGACTTTTTTTCGTCTTCTTTTCTTAGCAATTCATTTCAATGTTGACATAAAGTTTAAGTGTTTTATTCAATACCTAAGGTAGGCGCAGGTTAAAAAAAAGAATAGAATTGAATCTAGATATAGTTATTATAGTAGGTCAGATGATGGTCCTAAATCAGTAATCTATCGTTTTAATTGGCGTAATCAATCGTCGGCAGTAGTAATGTGCGGGAGAAGTAACTGACGAATATAGTATAGGGCTGGTAAGTCGGTCACCAACCAGTTCTATGGCTCATGCAGGTTGGGGGTTAGCTATTGTAGAAGACGGATGTGTTTTGATATTGTGTAACCAGAGTTTCTTCCAGGCATCTCTTCGGGGAGCCCCCCCCCCCCCCTCCGAAGAAAGTCTACCGCCTCCCCCCCCCCCCCCCGAACGTGATGGAATTTATATAGTAAACATACTTTTACTAGTGTCCGCCCCCCCCCCCCCCCTGGAAAATGTTGACCGCGCCCACCCCCCCCCCCCCCCAAATATCAAGTGCCCCCCTCCTCCGCCGAAGAAAAAAGCCTGGAAGAAACACAGTGTGTAACTGATCTACAAGTGTGTTATAATAAAGTTAATGTTATTTTCATGAACGACGTTGTTAATATAATTAATTAGTGTCTACGGAAAAATAAGAGTGTTCCCGTCCTCCTTCACAAGTATAATAGTTACAGTGTTAATAACAGTATTCAGAATATATATATATATATATATATATATATATATATATATATATATATATATATATATATATATATATATATGTTACGGTCAAAGCCCGAAGTCGGCCAATGCTAGGATTGGCCGGCCAATCCGCGCATTGGCCAATATCGCATCCCATAGGTCGGTCAAAGTCCGAAACTTTGCTTGATTTCGGCCTTTGGCCGGCCAATCCGCAGACTGGCCATGGTGGACCGGCCAAAGTCTTAATTAGAAGATCATGAGCAGATTTTGTGTTTTTTTTTTTATGCCGTAAGGATCATGAAATTAAGTCTTTATTGATTATTAATTAAAGTAAATGACAATGTTTTTCACAAACTATATTGTGATGGATTGGAATCACTGACGAGAAGCCACATTTATTGTTAACAGTAGTTTATTCACACCATGAGGAAAGAGAGAGAGGGCGGAAGTCACGAGACACTTATATACATAACATGTAAGGGACATCACTCAAGATAACAATATAAATATAATACTAATACAGAAGAGTGAGTTCCCTTGACTTCACAAGTCTCACTATATTACATCCCTTTACCCTTAGTAAACACAACACATCTCTCAATAGAACAATTTACAGTATCCTAAATCACCAATTATATTGTAACATGAACACTATGGTAGATTACATCCTTACAAACAATGCACAATATGTTACAACATAATTAAGATACAACATAATGATGTCAAAGTCCTTTTGACCTTTAAAATCATAGGTCTAACTTATTTGGGACTTTGATTGTCCTGTTTGACCTTCTCAGTGGCCTTTGATTTGGTGACTCAATATTCTGACCATATGGATTCTCTATCTCAGGAGGTCTAGGATTTAAATCATTAACTCCAGAATTTACATTTTCTGACTCTAGACAACTTGGTTCACTCATATCAACAGAACTTGGTTGTGGAACAAACTGAGTTGGTGTGAACTGTTCAGATTTGGTGGGATTGACAGATTCACACTTATTATCTGCACAAGTTATTTTTAACTGGTCTGCATGTCTACGGACAATAAGTCCATCATTTGTTTTTACTTTATAAGACACAGGTCCTGTACATTGAACAATTTGACCTGGTATCCATTTTTCCCTTCTCCCATAATTTCTCAGATACACATTGTCATTAACACCAAATTCTCTTTCAATGGATGATTTGTCATGATTTACTTTTTGTGTATGTTGATGTTGGGAAACAGACCTTTGAACAGTTGGATGTAGTAGGTCAAGATGAGTTTTAATTTTCCTACCACATAGCAATTCACATGGTGCAACACCTGTTGTTATATGAGGAGTTGTGCGGTATTTGGTTAAGAACCTGTTTACTCTTTCTCTAAGAGAAAACTTGTTACCGGTATTCATTTTTACCATAGCGGTTTTGAATATGCCTACCGCTCTTTCAGCTAAACCATTCCCAGCAGGATGATAGGGGGATGTGGTTATATGCTCAATACCATTTGCCACACAAAACAGTTTAAACTCATGAGCTGTGAAACTAGGCCCATTATCTGAAACAATTTGATCTGGTAATCCATGAGTTGAAAATATTTCCTTAAGTTCTATAATGGTATCATTTGCAGTGATTGTGTTCATGATTTTAACTTCTAACCATTTAGAATGTGAATCAATAACAATTAAGAACATTTTGTTCATGAAAGGTCCTGCGAAATCTATATGTATACGTTTCCATGGTTCGATTGGCCAGTCCCAGTTTTGCAAAGGTGCTGTAGCTGGTTGATTTGAATGTTGTGCACAGCTTGAACAAAGTTTTACATATTTTTCAATATCAGCATCCATATGTGGCCACCAGAACCATGATCTTGCTAGACTCTTCATTTTGGAAGAACCAAGATGAGTATCATGTAAAGTTCTTAAAACTTCTTTTTGTAATATTTTGGGGATAATTACTCTTGACCCCCATAGTATACATCCATCTTCTAGACTTAACTCTGTTTTTCTTATTTTATATGGCTTTAAGTCATCATTCACAGACTCTTCAGGCCAACCATTTTTACAGTACTCATATACTTTTATTAAGCACTCATCTTTTTGTGTTTCTCTTTTAATATCATTCACATTTATATTGGAGTTATCCATGATAGTGAAGAGAACAAATACATCTTCTGGTACATAACTAAGGCTTTGGTTTTTTAAAGGTAATCTACTAAGACTATCTGCACTATTCTCAGATCCAGGTTTGTATTTCAATTCATAATTGTATGCAGTTAGTGTGATAGCCCATCTTTGAATTCTTGGTGAGGCATGCTCAGGTAGGGTTTTGTTTTCTCCAAATAAACCTAGCAATGGTTTATGATCTGTAAAGATGGTGAACTTCCTACCAAACAGAAACTTATGAAATTTCTTAACACCAAAAATGATGCCTAAGCCTTCCCTATCTAACTGAGAATAATTTTTCTCAGCCTGGTTCAAAGATCTACTGGCAAAAGCAATGGGTCTGTCACCCTTCTCATCCATGTGGGACAAGACTGCTCCTACACCATCTGGTGAAGCATCACATGTTAATATAAGTCTTTTCCCTGGGTCATAGTGAGTTAGTAAGGTGTCAGAAGACAAAGCCTCTTTTGCTGTATTAAAAGCAGTATCTTGTTGTTTACCCCAGTGCCAAGTTGCATTTTTCTGTAGCAGCTTGTACAGTGGTGATAGTTTACCAGACAGATTCCCTATGAACTTTGCATAGTAATTTATCAAGCCCAAAAAAGCTCTTAGTTGTTGGGTATTTTCAGGTTTGGGTGCTTCTTTAATGGCTTTTGTTTTCTCAGGTTGAGGTCTGATACCTTGCTTGCTTAATATATAATCAAGAAAACTAATTTCTGTCAGCATGAATTGACATTTATCTTTGTTTATCTTTAAACCTTTTTCACCAACTATTTTCAATACTTTATCAAGTGTTTTAAGATGTTCAGTGTCATTCTTACCAGTTATGTACACATTGTCAAAGTAAACACAAACATTTGGAATATCCTTAAAAATACTGTCCATGACAGCCTGGAAAATTCCAGGGCTAGATGATATGCCAAAACATAGTCTTTCATATTGGTAGAGTCCTTTGTGTGTGTTTATTGTCGTATAGACTTTCGAATCTGGATGCAGTTCTAGTTGAGTGTAAGCATGACTAAAGTCTAATTCAGTGAATTTGTCTCCTGCCAAATTCAAAGAAATTTCCTCAATGTTAGGAATAGGGTACCTATTTAGCTCTATTTGCTTATTCAGTGTAGCTTTATAGTCTCCACAAATTCTTACAGAACCATCCTTCTTTAACACTGGCACAATGGGCGTTGCCCAATCGGAATAGTCTACCTTCTTTATGATGCCATTAGATTCCAATCTACTTAGCTCATTTTCAATTTTATCCCTCATTGCATAAGGTGGAACTCTAGCTTTGCAGTATCTTGGATTTGTGTCTTTAATGCTTATCTTCACTGTTCTATCATTTAGTAATCCATGATTACCAAAAACACATTTATTTTCAGATATAACTTTATCTATTGAAGTAAGACTAGATTCTCTTGTTTTGATCACTGAAAATATACTCTCCCAATTTAACTTAAGATCACTTAACCAGTTCCTACCTAGTAATGGTGGTCCATTTCCTTCAACCACAAGAAGAGGAAGTTTAACACTTTGACCATTATAACTTACATGAACCATACACTCTCCTATTACCGGAACATTGTCACCAGTGTATGTTGTTAAACACTTGTGACATGGTTGTAGAGGCACTGATCCTCCTGTGACAGCGTTAAAGTCCTTCTTTGTGATGACTGTTAGAGATGCTCCAGTGTCAAGTTGGAAACTGATGCTCTTACCGTTGATATAAACTAGTACATTGATGGGAGCATGACTTATTGATTTCACAGAGAATAGGTTGAAATCCGGCTGCGAATCAGTTTGAGCATTTTTACAGGTAGAGTGGTTCATTGGTTGGGTTCGGTAGTCTTGGTGAGAGTTAACATAGTGCTGCCTTTGGTTGCGGTACTGTCTTGACTGGCTAGATTTAGCGACAGACGAAGACTTTGCAAAGCAGGCCTTGGCAATGTGACCTTGCTTACTGCACTTATAACAAGTTGCAGACTTGAACTTGCA